GTTAAACTAGCAATTCCGTATTATATTTATAAATCTTTATAACATTAATAATTATACAAAAATTAGATTTTTCTTAAAAATTGAAAAAATTTTGCCGGGAATGGGGCTTTAAATGATGTGTAATTCAAATAATAAAATTATAAGTACCAACAACAATACAATAATACACTAAAAAAAAACATACAGTAGGCCTATGCCACCGTACTTAGTTGCACAGATGAACAGCATTGTAAAATTGTTTGACTTGGAAAAAATTTGACTTCGTTAATGGAAAACACAACAATTTGGCATATAAAATAAGATCGACAATAGAAATTATTCAAGTTAGGCAAAGTCAACTTAGGAAATTTTTACTGTAACTATACTGTAAATAATTGCAAAGATAAACTTAATTTTATTAAATCAAATTATAAGAAAATTCAAGTATGACAAATATGTATACTGTATAATAAATTCAAATTACGAAGATAAAAAAGGTCTTAGGAGAAAAGAGGAACATTCTGTCTTGCATTATTATGTTAAGTATATTTATATAATAAAATGACTACTTCATATATGAACTATTTTATGGATTAACACGTTGACTGTCAATCCTTTTTCCTAGTTTCATCTCATACATCAAGGCATAAAGGCCTGTTAATACTTGCAACGGTAACGATAAAAAAACGGTAAAAAGCTAAAAAGCAATTGTTCATATTGAAAATAAAAGAAATGAGAACTTTTCACACTAGCACGATTTGATAACAATTTATCGTGTATACGATAAAAATATATTTTCACAAATGATGTCATAGCAAGTATAAACAGTCCTTTAAAGGGCACCACCATAATGAAAATTATTCTCATCAACTGCAATGAAACATAAACAATCATACAGTATTTTTTTTTAAGATCATTAATTCCAGGTTCTTGCCTGAACCTCCAAGATGAGAGTTCACATTCTGGCTACCACTGCCAGTGAGTTTACGTACAATATAATAGTGTTATGTTTAGACAGGACTGGACATAAAATCACATTCCTGGCTAACTGAATAAACCCCTGCCAGCGAACATGTTGACACGTTCGTTGCCAGCAACAAGATACTCATCATACAAGGTGGGGGCGCCAAATGACAGATACGCTGTGCCCTGTTACCATGCGACAAAACCTTCCAAAATACCTCAGGAACTCTGGCATCATTGAGGTCTGTTTTTACAGAGAGAAGGTGAGAGATATCATTGGTATTTTTACATGAACATGCATTCTCACGACAGATACCGTATATCCTTGATATGAAAAATAATCTTGGTATAATTTGCTAATATTTACTAAATTCGTGTGATGAACGGGCAACTTATAATCCATAAAAATTACATACTGGAGTGGGCTTACTGGTACTGTATCTACAATTTCCACAAATTTAATGATTTTAAAAACAGAAGCTATGTATTCCCAAGACCCTTCACTGAAGTATGTATTGTGTGTAACACTTTGCAGCTTTAAAAAATTTCATCAATTTCTACTAAAAAAAAAAAAAGTTAAAATCAGTAATATTTTGCTGGTTCCTTTGGGAAGGGTCTTTTTGTCATTCAAACTTCAAGTAGTGTTTCAGTTTAGAGGGAAGAGGCAAGGCACCAATAGCAGAGGAAGTGATCTGTGATATAATGACATCTCGGCACATTTCCTGTAGTGATGGCACTGAAAAACAAAAAAAAGAAAATGACATTATAATTGGATCTACTGACTGGTACTGGTGTATTTTCCGTGGCGTTTAGGGGAATTTTAAGGGGGATGGGGCGTATATTTCAGAGGTGTCCCCCCTGCATTTCACTAGAAATGTAGAGAACACAAAATTATTGTCAGTGTTACTGTATGATCATAATACTACTGTGGAAGCGGTTGGCGCATCGGTTGTGGCTTGGACTCCCAACCTCGAGGTTCGTGAAAATCGCTTGTGTCCTTGGGCAAGGCACTTTACTACAACGGTTGCCTCTCTCCACCCAGGAGTACAAGTGGGTACCTGGTAGGTTCGAACACAACTGCGCTGATTACTAGCTGCAATAGTATGGAATTCTCCCCAGGGAGCTGAGTATGTGTTCCATATGTGTTTGATCCAGTGACCAGGGTAGTAATGTGAAGTGCTTAGAGGCATTGTGCATGAAGCGCTATATAAGAGCGACATATTATTATTATTATAGCCAAAGCCTGACCTATTCACCAAAAAAGCTTGAATCGATTGAAAAATTAATGTTTTATAGATTAACTGACTGTAAATGAAGTTTTCAATGTACATACTGTAATTTACAAATCAAATTTGCTCTTACTGTATGAGATCTGCAGAATCCGTACTTGCTTTGTGACACCATACACATCAACAACAGGGAAAAAAGGTGCGGACAAATTAGCGCGTTCCATCTTAGTACCGCTACTATCTTCACCATTAATAATGAAATACATATAAGCGCTATCACCTTGAATGTTAAAAGTAATTCCTATTCGACTTCCAACACATACTGCGGAATACCTCCTACTTGCTATCTTTTCATTCAGCTCCATGTCGATGGCAAAATCATCGCGTACTAAATACCTCTTTGGGATTGTACTTTTGCCAACAATTAAAAAATTTCCTATGTTTTGTATGAATTTGTTTGAAGATTTTGATTGTTCGGCCACTTCAAAAGGATTGTCTAATTCTGTTGGGTAGTCCTCGGACCGGGTAGGGTACTTAGTTACCGCGTGCATCCATGATTTCCCCATGTTGGTTAAATCCGGCATAGAATATTGTGGAATGTACTCCAGCCCCGCTTCACTGTCAACACTCGACTGTGCACCTACATGATGGGTGCGTGAATGTGATGCAGGAGGTGTGTCCGGCCATGAGGGCACTTTGTAGTGACATTTTAGATTCTCAGGGTTGTACTGAGTAAGACCACATCTTAAGTGGCCGCTCCAACCCAGTTCTTGCGACTCTATCTCAAAAAGGAACAGGTCGCCGGGCTTAAGAGGATGCTGTCCAAAAGTTATGGCATTTGCAAAACTGAATTTTCGTTTTGCTATTTGGCATTCCTCGGTAAGTTCAATGTTGTAGCCATGGTGCTTGTGGAATCTCATCTGAGGCATTTCGGTAAACAGAATATCATGCTGTTTTCAATCCATCAAATTGCAAAGCTTGAAACCTTACCAGGTAGTTTGGGTCAGATCAATTATTATACTACAAAAAAAAATAAAAAATAAAAACCACAAAAACTGAATAACATCAAAATAGCACAAATATTTAAAAGAGATAAATGTTTCAAAGACTCAGCAGAGAAAACTGAGTAGGCCCCTAGGCCTATCTCAGGAAGCCCAGCCAGACTAAAAAATGGCAAATACTACTAGGTTTAGCCTAAATGTGTCACATTATGTGACTGGATGTTTTATATATGGATAGAATTCGAACCAGGATGTTTAAATGACCCATGGTCCACCACTACAGTTGCGCAGTACTACTCTAAGAGTAGTGGGGCTGCGGTAGGCCTAGGCCTACGGCAGGGATCCCCTAGGCCTGTCTAATAAAACGATTCAACTAGGCCTAAACTAAGCTTCGCTAAGCTGGCCAGGCGGAGGCCTAGGCCTAAGCCTTTTTTTGAGCTGAGGACAAAGTTGAACATTTTACCAAACAAGCTATATTACTTACTTAGTTGTATGTCTGTCGATAATTTTAGTTCAGCGTTAGAATATGCATATGTATAGGCCTAGACCTATAATAACAAACTTAATTCGTACAGCCTTTCACAACAATGACACTGTAAGAGTTGCCATTTTCTATTACAATATTTCGGCTGGACACTACCATTCCAAATTATTCAGTAAACTAAACTTTTTACTAAAAAATGTGGACTAGGGGCTTATAGCCTATACATTTCGGTATCCATTTTTACAACTAAAGTAGTAAACTAAAGTTTAGTATGTACTTGAAATCATTCATAAGAAATATGTAAATACATAAAATAATGTTTTAATAATACATTGTTCACTGGCCTCCCCCTGTAAAATGGTCAAGTCTAACCTGTGTACTTTCCAGGTTTACAACTAGGCTAGGCCATTCACACGTCGCGGTAAAAAAGAACGTGATTTAGCCTAGGCTAGGCCTGTTGAAATCATGGACGTTCCAATGTGTCCTGTAAAAAGTATATCCGCAGAACACAAAGATTTGATTCATGATGTAGCTTTTGATTTTTATGGTAAACGGATGGCTACATGTTCAAGTGACCAAAGTGTTAAGGTAAGTTTAGGACTGGTACTGCTCAATGAGACAGAGTAGCCTAGGCCAGCGTAGGCTTGACTTGGACTCCCATCATAGTGAAAACGCTTTGCTGCTAGGCCTAGCTAGGAGCTGAGCTAGGCTAGGGCCTAGACCAGCAGGGGTCCCAATTCAAGTCTCCAGAGACCCGCAGGAATCACCCGGAAATCGTTACGGTCTCCCGCACTCCCCCAAACAAGCAAGAATCTCCCGGAAATTAATTCATCTCTGCTAAGCCTAATTCATAATTTTGCATGTTTGCACTGCTTTATAATAAGTAGGCCCAGGCCTAGGCCCCTAGCTAGGCTAGGCCCTATAAATAACTCTTCTTAATCTTGGGTTGTTTGCTGGTACATTGATATTCAAAGTAAAACATGATTTAGATAATGCAAACAATATCTACCAACTATTTAATAAAATTAATGAAAAAAAAAATAAATAAATAAAATTTAAAAAAAAAAAATTTTTTTTTTATAAATTTCACAAAATTATTTTTTTTTTTCCAGTACCATAAAAAGACATGTGCGCGGGGGTGATAAACTAATAATTTTTTTTAATGGGCATTATCAGTTTTCTCATGGAAGTCTGCCGATGGGTATCACCACTCAGTGGTGGCGCCAGAGGGGGCTGGGGGGCTATACTTGGATTAGGGTCGTAGTGGCCGCAAGTTGATACACAGCAATTTGTATGGAGCGCCAAGCGTGCAGTACTGTATGCAAAATGTATGTTGGACAATGGGCATCAGAGTTCGATATTAATAGTACTGTTTTAATCAATTATCAAATTAATGTATATTTTCTTTCATAATTTATATATAGCCTATATAAATCGAGACTTAATATTTAGTTAGTTTATTTATTATATCAATTGATTTATAGTATGCCTATTTTCTTACAGAAATGGATGGTACTTTTTAAATGGCTTCTTTAGTTTATTCAAATATTACTAACTTGTGTTCAGTTTTTTCTTTAGTGAATGAACATCTGTTTGTCATTGCATTTAAAAATGATTGATATTTATTTGAGTTTTACTAACTCGTGTTTTGTTTGTTTTAGTGAATGAACATTTGTTACTCTTGTATTACAACTTTGAAGATGACTGATATTTATTTGATGTTTTACTAACTTGTGTTTCTTCTGATTACTAATACCTCACCCATTATCAGTTGTTGGTAGAGTATTATTATTATTATTATTATTATTTTACAGAAGTCAACTATTAAATTAATTCTTAGCATCACACTTTATTATTGCTTAACATTAATACTATGTATATAATTTCATCCTTATCTGAACATTTAATTATTGTTTTACTATAGTCAACAATTAACAATAAATAATACATACATATACATTCATTCTTATCTCAGCATTTTATTGTTTTACTATAGGCATTAATTAACAATGAATAATACATACATATAGCTTCATTCTTATCTCATCATTTAATTAGTGTTTTACTATAGTCAACAATTAACCTTAAATACCATGTAGGCCTACAGTATAGAATAATTAAATGAATTTAAAGTATCTTAAAACATGTATAGACCCTCTATACAATTTATTTATTTCTTTGGTTTATTGTAATTAATAACTTGATTGACTTTCACCTGTTTTATATCTTTATCATTTTAGCAAATAATATAAAAACGTATACCATGTTATTAGTAACAGTTGTTACGCATTTTTTACATTGTGTTGTAAAAGACACCTATCTGTATCATCATTAATAATAATAGCAATTAATAATAATAATAATAGTAATAATAATAAATTAATAATAATAATGACAATGTACAGTATCATTAAGCATACAGTTGACCTATGTTTTTCACGTTCATCACATTTTATTAATTGTAAATTTAGTATTGACAGATCCCATGTTTAAATCTGTTTGTGTCCTGAAATATAAAATAAAATTTCATTATACATAAAAATACGAACTGATAACATATAATAAATATCAATTTAATCATATCATAATTCAATTATGTCATGTACGTACAAAAATGTTTTGATCTGTAATCAATCTGTAAATAAATTGATCTTTAATCAACCAGGGCCAAGAAGACTACGAGAAATAAAAAATATTCCATTTTTTATATATATATTTTTTAGTACCTACCTGTAGAATTGACGAGTACGATATGAACGCTATTGACCAACGCTATACCGTACCGTATCCCAATCAATCGGTATAGCGCTACTGGCATTCCATACACTTTGAGCACGGCCGCTTTCCCTCGCGGCCGCCTCGACCATACTACCATAGATGTATACATGTAATATTCGTTTAGCCACCATACTGTATTGTTTGTGTTAACTTTTAATGACAACAACAACAACAACAATAACAACAATAATAATAATAATAATAATTCAATGAGACTAATTAAAAATAATTTGTGTTCTGTTATGACAAATGCTCATTCAGATAGCCTCATGATGGTTGGAATACATCGATAGGTGAAGCAACTTCGACCATGACAGCGTGGTTGACAGATTTCATGCAAAATTTCCAAAATATAGAATTTCACTTTCAAGAATGATGATTTGAAAATAAATATGATTACATTGCATACACTTTGTTTCTTGTTTTATTCAAAATGTTTTGGTTTTGGAAGCTGATTTCAACATTAGAAAGCATAGCCTACATTAAGTCATATTATAGTAAACTCGATGCCTATCAAAAAAAATAATGGAGAAATACCTGTAAAGAAAATTATATTCAAATCTAAGTCTGAGAGTGCCATTTATGACCATCTAGAAGTAACAATGATTAATGATGTTATACATTTAAATCATCATATTTTTGGGATTTTTCACCCTAATGATCCCTATGTGACCTATGATCCCAAGCTGTGAACACCTCATGTATTGGAGGTGTCACCTAGTTTGATTGAAATCAATGTTATATCAATTCCAAGAATGTTTATTAGGTTATATCGGTTGATGAGGAATTTATTGATTAGGCCTATAATAGCAAATTGCATCAATTTATTTTACAAAAACAAGGTTTCCAGCTTCAGAGGGGGGCACATCCCCTGTCCGCGCAAGGGCACACATTGGCGCTAACACCAGGCGTGTAACAGGGGTCTTGGGTCAGAGTGGGTATTTATTTTCCCGGTTAGTAATTTACCATACCCACCCCACCCCACCCCACTCCCCATATAGAAAACAATACGACATAGGGCTTATCATATTTATAATATAGGCCACACACGTGTGTTTGAAACTAAATATAAGCATTTTCTTCATGGTTTTATTTATTACAAACATGTATTCTTTCACCATCAATACACATTGAGGCCCTTCTTTTAGGTTAAAACGAGCTATCTTAAATTTGTCTTTCTTGAGTTTGGGACTATTATGTGTTTAAATAACTTAAAAGGATAAAACTAAAAAAGCCTTAAAAATGCAAAATATTTTTGTGCTTTTAATTCTAATTTCGTCTTAATTGATGAAAACTCCCTAAAAAAATTTGAGGCTTTTAGGCACATTCAGGGGATGAAAAGGGCATTTATAAAGGGGTGGGGAAGATTTTTCAAAGATAGGTATTTTCCCCTTGTCCCCCAGTGGTTACGCCATCGGGCAGCATAGATCAAAGGAGTTATGACAGTTTTTGAAGTGGAGAAGTGGTTGCAGGGTGTTGTGAGTCTGGTCATTATGATATCTTCCTTTTAATTCTTGTCTTTATTTTTCTCTTCTCTTTTTCTTTCCTTTTCCTTTTCTCTTCTTTTTCTTTCCCTCCCTCTCCCCTCTTTCTTTTCTCTTATTACCCAGCCCGGTACGATGGCTTGGTCAGCCCGGTAAAAACCGTCAGGGGCCCCGCGCCTGGTATGACACTGGCTAGCACGCCAATCATTCCCCTAATGAAAAATACTTTTCTATGCCACTGAGGTTGGAAACTTATTAGCCCTTGATTCATTGATTAATGAGTTTGTGTAGATTTTTCTTATGGGTGACTATGCAGGGGCATGCTGCTGATCAGAAGAAGGGAAAATTTTGTGAAAGGAAACTTTGTTACCTACCTAGTAGTAGTAAGGCACATATTGTTGGCAATCATTTTTGACTTTATGTTATTTTAAATTATCATTTTTTATTTGTTTTAGGTTTGGGATCTAGGTGAAAATGGGGAATGGCAGTGTACTGCAAACTGGAGGGTGAGGATCATTCATCATATTGAGTATAGCTCTTGAGGGTCATAACATAACCCTCAATACAGTATAATTATTTTTTTTAAATGACAACAAATTCTTAGAAGAAAAAAGTAGTTTGAACATACAATAGAATGCATATTTCATAAATAATAAGTGATAAAGACAATAAAATTTAAATTAATATGTACACTGTAGATTATTAAAATGGTGATATTTAGAAAAAAAATTGTAATTATTGTGAAAATGATTTCTTTTGAAAATTTGTACCCACTAGACACATGGAGGCTCGGTGTGGCGAGTGACCTGGGGTCATCCTGAATTTGGTCAGGTGTTGGCATCCTGCTCGTTTGATAGGACAACTGTTATCTGGGAGGAAATTGGTAAGAATAAATTGGAAAGCTTATACTTGATTCACACGACAAAATTGCACCAAGAATATTTTCCATAGCAAGGATATTTTGGTTGTTTGTGAATGCACGTCCTTATAAGAGAATAACATGGATATCTCGGTCAGATAGAACAGACCTCAACTAGTACTGGTATAGGCATTTATAATGCGCCTCTTCCTTGAGGTTATAAAGCGCAGGTCTTTTATCTGGTCCACATGCTTTAAGTGTGGCTGCTGTTAATCATCACAGGAGCAGGCAACCCCACCAGGCACCCGTTCATACTCTCGGGTGGAGAGAAGCAATGCAGACAAAGTGCCTTGCTCAAGGACACAAGCGAAATGCACAGCAAGGGATTGAAACCCCGACCTCGAGGTTGGGAAACCAAACCGTTCCTGCTACGCCAAACTGCTGAAAGCTCCTGCGATATTAAGCAACAATCAGTGCGCATGGTAACAGGTTGCAGCTTATCTGTGTATCAATTATACCAAATTTTAGCAATAAAGCTATGAGCATAAACAAACGATACGCCCTTATACGCACCAATGAGAGGATGACCGCTGCATTCGGTTGTCACTTTTAGCAAAGACTATAGAGAATTGCAGGAGGACAGACTGCCCTAATTTTGTATGCATGCAGTGGAACATTAAAAAAAGTTCTGCCACGAGATAGGGGGTGCCCTATTAAAATTTGAATAGAGGTCGCTCGAAATTCATCTTTTAAGGCATGCGCCTTCGTGGCAGTACTTTTTGAAATAAGATTACGTAAGTCGGACCTCTTGCAGTTCCATACTCTTTGCTTTTACTTACCCAGTTGTTGGTTGTCTGTGTATGTGTTCCACAATATACAATTCCTTCATAGAGGGCGATATATTAATGTTACTATTTAAAAAAAAACAAGTGCATTTTAATATTTTACATGGGGGCGCACTTCCATGAGTCAGCCAAATACATTTCTCTTACAAGTGTAAATCAGGTATTAGTCACATTAGAGAAATGTTATAGGGAATAGACACAATCAGCCACCAGGAACTAGTGGTCGTGTGAACATTGACTTGGTAAAACATACAAGTGCTATCACTGTAAAAGTATAAGAATAGGAAATGTTATGATTTTAAAACAATGCCCCATGAATAACTTGCAAAATATATTCATCATATACGATTTCAGTTGGTGATTCTAACTCCAAGCAGAAGATTCAAGGTCACTGGGTGAAGCGAACAACATTTGTTGACAGCAGAACATCCGTAACAGATGTTAAATTTGCTCCAAAACATCTAGGTTTACAAGTGGTGAGTAATGTCATTTCTTTAGATTTATAGCATTTTGTACTGAAATGCAACGGTCTCAAACGGTGAAGGTGTGGACGAGTTCTTAAAGTAGCATGCTTCTCCCCTAAAGGGTCCCTGGTAGCTGGTACTGGTAAACGGTGCCATTCAAACCAGTGCCGCTATTATGGCTGTACGTTACCATCCAACTCAACAATACAGTACTTAATACATTTAAATTTAAGTTGAGAGTGCCATTTCCGACCATCTAGAGGTGCTACATCGGTAAAATTCACTCCCTGGGCCCCCTATATTTCAAATTCCTAGATGCACCATTAATAATAAATAATAATAGTGTAGTTTTATATAGCACACATATCCATCTAATATAAGATGTTCAGAGCACTTGATATGTGGACTAGGAACTCGATTAATGACTTTCTTCGCCCCTAAGGGTCCCTTCGTGTCTGTGCTATCCGGTAAACCCGGTACCAGCAACTCTCGTCGTCCACCACAGGTATCCCCCTACTATTCTCGAAAGATGTACAGTAGAACCTCGTTTTTACGTACCCCAATTATACGAACCCTCGGTTTTACGTACGCCTCATATCGACGATGACGTCATCAAAAACCCCTAAAACCCTTTTCAGAGCAACCATAAGTAAAAATACTATAACAATAGACTATAATAGTAAACAAATCATAATGCAACGTATTTTCATTAAACAGCAACGTTGATTGAGTTTAATACCGGGTTGTTATAATCTAAAACCACGTGAACTGAGTGAGATGAACAACTACCGATGGTGCTCAAAATAATTGCTTTCCTCCTTAGCTTCGTGTGGCAAACCATGGAAAAACTTGTCTGGCCAAATTTTCTACACGAAGCTGAGTAGGCATAGTTTTGTACTCGAACGCTAATTGGTTGGCTCGCCCAGGGCAGTGCACACGGTTGCTGCTTCACGCACACGAACGCTAATTGGTTGGCTCGCTCAGTGCAGCTCACATGGGTTTAGTTTGTCTCTCAACAGGCCCAGACAACACCACAGCTCTGTTGTTTAGAATAGGCATGAAGGGGAATTCCCAAGTTATACCTTTGTCGTATAGGTAATCTTACAATATTTTCATGTTCTTTAGTTAAATAAAAGATATAAAGTGGTGAATTAATACACTAGACACATGGTTTTATTTGAACACTTTATTATGACATCGTAAAGTGATGAATAAAAACACTAAACGCATGGTTTTATTCGTAGGCGCGGCCTAGAGGCTAGGTCTAGCCCTGACTAGGTAACATCGTTCGTTCATACATACGTATATTGAGCGTTACGTACGTATTAAGTCAAAGGTTACCACAAATTTAACCCAACATCTATTTTACGAATCCCCCGATTTACGTATTCCCTCCGGTCCCGTACCGTACGTAAAATTGAGGTTCTACTGTACTGGGTCCTTTATATTGCACATGAGCCATTGTATACACTGGGCCTACGGTTTATAGTTCTTATCCGAGAAGACTTGTTCTACCACTAGAACCATAGGCGAGCGTGCCGTTTGAATCAGCGCCTATATTATGGATGTAGCTTGCAGCGCCCCTGCTAACCGCTCGGCCATTCGATTCGCCTAAATGTACTTTAAATGTGTGTGACATGTGCGTATTCCTGATCCTAAGTAACCTGTTCCGATTTCTCAGTTTGCAAGTTTGATCGACACGCATTATACTCCCGAATTTAGACAGGGTGGATAAAATGCCTGCGTTTTCTAATACAGGTCCAATGACTTGTTTATTAAAAAAAGCAATATCGCCTGGTTTTCACCGCCTAAACGTTAAATTGTCTTAGAAAAAAATAATTTAGATTTACACTTCAGTATTACTGTACTATCTTCAATAGAGTGGTTCATATTCTGTTTTAAATTTCTTACAGCTTACCACAAACTCTTTGGTTTTTTGGGGCATTAAAGTTTCATATGGTTATTATCAGACCAATTAACAATAAGGAATAACATCATTTTGCAAATTGCTGATTTGATTTTTAGTTATTCTTTCTATTACAGTGGTATTTTCCATAAACTTAACATTAAGATTGTCTGTATATAGGTAATTAATGAGGATAATAAATTAACCATGTTTTGTAGATATGCAATTAAAGATAACCTTAATTTTGAGCACTCCACCACTTTTCAATTTGTATCTTCTTCCTAGGCAACTTGTTCAGCAGATGGAATCGTGCGTTTTTATGAAGCACCGGACGTTATGAACCTGTCAGTGTGGTCTTCAGTTGAGGTAACATCATTAGCTATATTTTATCATTTATTTATTTATTATTTTCTATGCAAGTCATCAAAGGGTAATTATTGGATCACACTGTCAAAAAACAGTTAAGTACTCATACCACAATCACAAAAGCTTGGTAAAGAGAATGCTATAATGCAATAGTATATTATAATACTGTATGCATGATGTTGATTAGGAGATCTGCCAAAACAAATACTGTATTATTATTTGTTATTGGTGGAGGTAAGTGCCACAAAAAGTGCACTAGCAGAATTTGGATATCTTACACATTTTTTTCGGAGGCATTTTTTTAAAGGAAATTCTTTTGGCTACAGAAATAATTTCTGTGGTCAGCGATACAAACATTTTTTATTTGTGATAGTTGTTGGTAATGGTTTGGTGATGGATCTAGTTGGTGGTAATTCTTGTTGGTGGTGCTTGTTGTTGATGGTTGTTGGTGATGCTTATTGGTGATTGTTGTTGGTGATGGTTGTGGGTGATGGTTTTCAGTGATAATTGTGGGTGATGGTTGTTAGTGATGGTTGATAGTGATTGGTGTTGGTGATGGGGGTTGGTTATGGATATAGGTGATGGTTGCTGGTGATGGTTGTTGGTTTCCCGGTGGTGTTACCACTGATATTGTACTTGAGATACAAGAAAAAAAAAGAACCTTGGTTTTATTTTTGTATTTAGTAAGAATTTTCACTTAATATAATTTTGATACTGGTATCCTGTAATGTAATAACTTACTCTTGTATTCGTTGTCACCAGGTGTTCTTATCAATTTTTATGATTATTTTTAGGAAGAAATCAATACAAAAATGGCCAAATGCAGCTGTATTTCATGGAATCCATCCAGGTAAGTCATGACACAATTTTACATGATCATGCATTTTAGTATGATTGTAGTCATTGGTTTCCACTTTTATGAACCTGTTTTAATTTACTGTACTAAGTTGTATAATAGTTCTTAATCCATTTGCAGTTTAATTCTAATTTTGATTTTATCAGCACCAATTTTCTATATAATAATTAAAACTTAAATAATTAACCTTAAATTTTAGTAAATACAGTAAATATGGATTAAGTTTTTAGCACTTTTATGACTATGTGATTTTATTCACTAGCTGTTGCCCTAATTAATGGGACTAGACTCCTTAGTTACTTTATGTATAGACTTTTGATCAAGCAACAAGACATTGTTTTACCTGAATTGGTGTTCCTCACTGTTTCTCTCAGGAGACAAAATTTTATACTGGGGAATTTTGCTCATCGAAAAGTTCTTTCTCGCTTCTGATATTATTGCAATTTTTAGCTGCAAATGCTTGTACACACTTATTTATATCTTTGTATAAGAAACTTAATCATGGCTGATAAAACACACCTTTGCACTGGGAAATAATAGTTAATAAGTCTGGAAGAATTAGAATGACTAATTTTAAAACTGTTTTAGAAACTCTTTTCTTCTTTTGGCAATTATTGAACTTAATAAGAAGAAATTAAGGAAGGTAATGTACTGTATGTTGTAAGTGGATTTCATGGAAGTATCTTTTTTTTTCTACCCCCTTCTGCTACATTGTGTATTATACTCTTAATAGGGGAACTATCTTTTAGCACAAGTCTGCAACAGTGACCCTCAGTCTTTCAAGTACAAAATCACTTGATTATACTCCTTCTGACTTTATATATTCCTTTGCCAAGAATAGATTGGATTTTTCACCTACTAAACAATCGCCAAGCTTTAAGTGTTGGATTTTCTTTCTGCTGTTTGGTTAATAAATAAATACACTTACTGTATAAAAATAATATAGACATTGTTATTTGCTATTCACAGAGTTCATCCCCCAATGGTGGCTGTTGGAAGTAATAATCCCAACCCCTCTGGTGGGGGAAAAGTTCTCCTATTTGAATACAGTCAAGCAGAAAGGTATAGTGAGGATAATAT